ACGCATGTGTCCTGAGTCAGAGACACTTTTTTGTCCCAAGAATGTCCCTATGCCTCAGCCTAGACAGTAAGTGCTAGCACAAACAAAATAAAGAATTCAGCACTCTGATATTATTTAAATACTAACAATTAACAAATGTGTCCAGTGATTTACATTGAGATCATCCTTTGCATGTTGTAAAGTTTTAAGTAAACTTTTTTATATGGCCAAAAAGAAATCTTTTATTTGGCTTTATGTCCTTTTTAAAATACAATCTTTTTAAATATTCTTTAATCAGTAATCAATTAAGGAGCTGTGATTGGAACCCTGGAGATTCCTGTAAAATATTTCTCCAGTTCACCTAAATTTAAGTGGTTTAAAAATCAAATAACCACCAGGCACGATGGCTCACATCTGTAATCCCAGCACTTTGGTAGGCCAAGGCGGGCAGACCAACCTGAGGTCAGGAGTTCGAGACCAGCCTGACCAACATGGAGGAAACCCTGTCTCTACTAAAAAACAATAGCCGGGTGTGGTGGTGCATACCTGTAATCCCAGCTACTCCAGAGGAGTAGCAACATGGATGGAGAGGCAGGCCATTATACTAAGCAATCTAACACAGGAACAGAAAACCAGATACTGCATATTCTCATTCTGTGTGTATTCCATGTGGAAGCTAAATATTTGAGTACAAATAAACACAAGGAAGGAAGCAATAGAAGTTGGAGGGTGGGAGAAGGGAGAAGACTGAAAAACTAACTATCATATACTATGTTTATTACATGAGTGACAAAATAATCTGTACACTAAATCCCTGTAACACACAATTAATATATTTAACAACATTGCATATGTACTCCTGGGCCTAAAATAGAAACTAAAAACACCTAAATCTCAAAACGTCACAGTACCACAAAACTGCTTTCTTAAAAAGTTTTTGTCCTATTGCTGTAATATCTATGTGACCTTAGACAAGATATTAATGTATTCTGTGTTCCTACCCTCTGTTCTAGTTACTGTGTACCCTACCACAAATCAAAAAATGAATAATCAAATGTGGTAATATACACATGAGAATGTTATTCAGCCTTAAGGAAATTCTGATATGTTATAACATATATGAATCTTGAAGAAATCATGTTAAATAAAATAAGCAAGTCACAAACATACCAATACTGCAAGATTCCATCTATATGAGGAAGCATAGTCAAAACTGTGGAGCTAGAAAGAATAGTGGTTGCCAGGACCTTGGAGAAGGGTCGGTTATTATTTAATGGATAGAGTTTCATTTTTGCAATAGTAAATGAATTACGGCAATGGATAGTTGTGATGGTTGCATATTACGAATGTATTTAATATCAGTGAACATCTCTTAAAAATTAAGATCAGATCAGCACAGTGGCTCTCACCAGTAATCCCAGCACTTTGGGAAGTCAAGGCAGGCAGATCGCTTGAGCCCAGGAGTTCAAGAGTAGCCTGTGAAACATGGCAAACTCTGTCTCTACTAAAAAATACAAATTAGCCAGGCATGTTTGTATACGTCTGTAGTCCCAGCTACTTGGGAGGCTGAGGTAGGAGGATCTCTTTAGCCCAGGAGATTGAGGCTGCAGCAAGCTGTTATCACGCCACAGCACTCCAGCCTGGATGAGAGACCCTGTCTCAAAAGAAGGGGGGAGGTGTGGTTAAGATGGTAAATTTTATGTAATAAGTATTGTACCACAAGAAAATGCAGAGGATAACCACACTAGTTAAGTTATGAGGGCTCCATTGGTATGCAGCATGTTAGGACCACCCCTCACTAAAGGATAAATTATTTCATCTTGATCCTCCTATGATTAAAAAGAGATACAGCACTTCACAGGCTTCTGGATTTTAGAAACACAAATTATACACAAGAAAACCCCTCTGACCCATTTCTTACGTGGCTTAGATTTCAGTGAGGCCGAGTGAGGGAGTTCTGGAGCAAGTTCAGGCATATAGTACAAATAACTCAACATTTAGGTCATGTAACATGGCAAATCCCATGATGCCAGAGACATTCCTGGTAGACAAATATGCTACATAGAGTCTCTGGCAACCCCTGATTATCTAAGTCCTAACACAGACCTTTAGGTTTCTGGAGCTAGGTCATTTTTTCTGAAGCAGTTAACTAGTCACTATTTAAAGAGTAGCTCCTCACATCAGAGCACTTCAACTGTGACCAGAGCTATCCATCACAAGCTGGGTACTGTCAGATCCAACAAACCCTAAGACTAGACCAGCATAGTAATAACTCACGGTACATTCAGGATGGTGCCCACGAAGTTCCTGAGGCTCCAACTTTCATGAAAATGTGCCCCAGGTAACTTACCTCCAAGACACCAGCACCTCACTCTCGGTTCATGGCTTCATTGGGGTTCACCACTACTATCAGGAGACAGAGGAGGAAAGACCCTCAGGTTTGGTTCACAGATAACTCAGCTTGGTATTTTACTGTAAACCAAAGACTGACTCCTGCCCTATTAGTGTGAGTAGACCTGAAAGAGAGTGAAAGGGAAAAGCTACCTTCTGGCCTGAGCTTCAAGCAATAAACCTGGTCAGCACTTTGCTCATTATGTAACAAAATGAAATGCTCACTAGACCTTATGTCATCTTTCTAGGCATTTAGCTTGCTGGAGGTGCATTTTCTAGTCCATTCCTCAGGACACACTCAAGGGACACAACCCCATTCCCTGAATTCTTGCACACTGATAATGTCTGAGGAGTTACTTTTATACTTAACCAGTTTGGGTAGATACAAAATCTTTTACTAACATTTTCTTTCCACAGGTATCTTAAAGGCTTTTCCTCCTGACATAGTGCTGCTCTTTTAACTCTTGCTCTTATAAGTCACTTGCTGTTTCTGTCTAGTCAAATCCAAAGTTTGTATATTGCTATTGGCTTTTCCAGTATAATAATCTTGGGTAGGCAGGTTACTCTTCCAATGTGTAGTTCCAAATTTTTTCCAGCAAAGTAGTCACTGATTTTTTTCTGTATATTGCATTTTTTCTTTTCTGTCTCTAAAACTTGTTGTATCCCTACTAATCCTTTTTCTTTTTTCTTTCTGATTTCTAAAAGTCCTCCATTTTTATCTTTCATTTCTCTTAGGGCATTATCTGTTGTTCATCAGCTGTTGTTTATTCTAGCCTTAATTTCTGGCACTGATCTCTCAAGTCCTCCACTTGGCACTCTTCCAAGTGTACTTTACTTCCTTTTTGTCCTGTACTCAAGCTTTTAAATAAACTTTCACTCCTGTTCAAAAAAAAAAAATTCTGAGTGATTTTTTCCTCTATTACTAATATTTTCCCAAGTTCTTCAGTTTTATTTTTGTTGTTCTTTCATGTCTTGTATCATTTTCTAAACATCTTAAATTTAATTTTAAGGAATACTCTATAGCTTTTATCCATTTTATAAGCATGCTTTTCTGGTGTGCTTTCAATGTCTACGGGTATGCTATTTTTTTCCTTCTACTCCTTTTTTTAACAATCTTGCATGACTATAGTTTCATGTTATTTATTTTTGTTTGAAGTCAGCTTCTCTGAGCTCTTAAAAGGAGGCTTGGTTCAGGGTAACTTTCCGAACATCCCAGATATCTCACTTTTGTTGTTTTTATATAGTGTTCAAAACTAAGATGGCTTGCTTTCTGAAATTCTCCTGGATCTCTTTAAATAAATGACAGATACAAAGATGGGTAAGATATATATGATACTGGGAGAAATAACAAAACAAAATATAGTAAACAAATATTTTTGGGCCAAAAGCAAACTTCACACTCCATGAAGGCCTATGCAAATAAAACATCCCCTCCAATAAACAACAACCCTTTTAATAAAAAGTGTTTTAATTCAAATACAAATGCAGGACTTTTAACATGGAATTTAGTAGCCAGTTCTACCTTGAATAATTGAGTTCTGCACATAACGAAATAGGATATAAAATGTAATCCTAAATTGGAAGACAAAGACTTCAACATGAAAGTTTTCAGATGAAAAAATACTTTATAAATGAATTTTCATTCATGCCAGTACATTCCTCAGTATTACTTTTCAGCACTTTGGGAAGCCGTGGTGGGAGATTACTTGAGGTCAGGAGTTCAACACCAACCTGGCGAACATGGTGAAAACCCATCTCTACTAAAAATACAAAAATTAGTCAGGCATGATGGCACATGCCTGTAGTCCCAGCTACTCAGGAATCTGAGGCATAAGAATCACTTGAACACAGGACGTAGAGGCTGCAGTGAGCCAAGATCACACTACTGCACTCCAATCTGGTTGACAGAGCAAGACACTGTCTCAAAAAAAAAAAGATATTAAATCTGTCCAGTGGGAGTGGGATACTGACATTGTAATTCCATGTAGAAATATTCTTTTCTGATATATCCTCAAGTATTTACAGTAAAATGACATCTTATCTGGGATGTGCTTTAAACAAAATTAAAAAAGGAAAAGAAACAAGTATGGCAAAATTTCATGGTAATTAAAGTTGGGTTACAGGTAAATAACAGTTCATAACATAGTTTTTCTTTCAATGAACACTTAAAGCTTTTTATAATAAATCACCCTTTCAAAAATGTTCAATACATATTGATATCATTCAGATATTTGTCCCCTCCAACTCTCACATTGAAATATGATCCCCAATGTTGGAAGTAGGGACTAGTGGGAGGTCTTTAGATCATGGGGCCAGATTCCTCGTGAATGGCTTGGTGCCCTCCCTGCAGTAATGAGTTCATATGAGATCTGGTTACTTAAAAGAGTCTAGAACCTCCTTCTTCCTGCTCTCTTCCTCTCCTTCACCATGTGATATGCTGGCCTTTCTTCACTTTCCTCCGCAAGTAAAAGCTCCGTGAAGCCCTCACTGGAAGCAGATGCTGGTGTCATGCTTCTTCTACATCTATAAGCCAAATAAACTCTGAGCCAAATAAATCTCTTTTTTTGTTTTTAAGTAAATTACCCAGCCTCAGGTATTCCTTTACGGCAATGCAAACAGACTAATACACATATCATTGACAATGTTTATTATTAAGAAACTTTAGCTGTAGGTTTTTTAAAAGAATGTTGGTTTTAGAATACACAAAGCGGACACTCTGTGACAAGATATATACAAACAAGGATAATTAAAATATTAAATACTATCTAAATTAAAAGACCATAATTCAAATTCCTAATTATAATCTTTGTGCCTTGGTAGAAATAACTATGGTTCCCCTTCATGAAATTCACCCTCATCTTTTCACAAAGACAATGAAGTCTCACCACAATTTCAGTTATTTAATTAACAATAATCAGTGCTGAGTTTTCTGTGCTGAAGCATGCACTGTTACAGAAAGCATAAAATCCTATTTACGGGGACTTTTAGTTTTCTTTAAAATGTATCTCAAGCATCTTTTAAAGTGCGAGCTACAAATAGGCTGTATCCTTAATGAAAAAGGCTTCTTTCTAAAAGAAGCATGAGATAGTATCCAATACTGCAGGAATGGTTATATAACTAACCGAAGGAACCAGCAGCACTCGGCTAACTGTTTTAGTGTAGCAACCTCCTCCTTGATCTTCTACTACCAGCCAAACATGTACTCCATTGCTTTGGATACAAGACTTTCATCTTTTTTTGGTGTTTGTCTGTCAGAAATAACCTATTAAAAAAAACACACACACACACACAAAAAAAAACTGTTAGGTTATTGTTTCTTCAGTGTCATAGTCAATTCTAGAGTTAATTGCTCATTTAAAAGAGAAACATCAAAATGCATTTATAGCACTGAATTGTATATTTTTTTAATTAAAATATGGACTTAGAATATCCTATGCTTTTAAGAATAACAAAATTTTATACCTTTGGAAAAGCAAATAACATCTGTTTCTTAAATCAGAAAACTGAATAGCTGGGTGTGGTGGCTCATGCCTGCAATACCAGCACTTTGGGAGGCAAGGTGGGTGGATCACTCAAGGTCAGAAGTTCAAGACCAGTCTGGCCAACATGGCCCCATCTCTACTAAAAATACAAAAAGTTAGCTGGGCAGTGGTGGCATGTGCCTGTAATCTACTCAGGAAACTGAGGCAGGAGAATTGCCTGAACCCAGTAGGCAGAGGTTGCAGTGAGCTGGGATCACACCACTGCACTCTAGACTGGGCAATAGGGTGAGACTCTGCCTCAAAAAAAAAAAAAAAAAAAAATTGAATAAATAACACAAAAGCAGTCACGCGAGTAGGCTCACACCTGTAATCCCAGCACTTTGGGAGGCCGAGGTGGGCAGATCACCTGAGATCGGGAGTTTGAGACCAGCCTGGCCAACATGGAGAAACCCCATCTCTAATACAAAATACAAAATTAGCCAGGGGTGGTGGCGGATGCCTGTAATCCCAGCTACTCAGGAGGCTGAGACAGGAGAATCGCTTGAACCTAGGAGATGGAGGTTTCGGTGAGCTGAGATTGTGCCATTGCACTCCAGCCTCGGCAACAAGAGTGAAACTCCATCTCAAAACACACACACACACACACACACACACACACACACAACAGCTGCAAAAAAAAAAAAAAAAGTTGGAGAATTTAAAATAACAGTAATAGAAACTAAAGGAAAAAAACAGTTCTAGAATAATCTCTAAATTTCAGAGGAAGTCAAAAAACTGAACTACCACTATCTGCCCTACTAAAGCACAAGTGTTTCATGTACCGTGTTTTCAGGACCTATTTCTGCAGCTGGTTAAGTTCAGAACCCTTGGCTAATCAGTAGGAGACAATAATAAACTGAATGAGGTTATAATAAATCTATGATTCTTCGAAGAACATAGTTAAGCTTTTTTGAAATGAGAAATTTTTTCTGTCTAAATGGGAGTTGGTCAATGTCTTCATTTCAATAACCAAAGATACTCCAACCTAAGATTCTGCACTTTGGATACCATCGATTTGGTCATCAATTTAATAGTTTAAATGTGGCCTCATGTCAAAGATGTACACAGTATATATTTTGTATGTATGCAACTATAACTTAGAAAAAGTTAAAACAACTCTCTAAAAATTTTAAGGAATGGCAAATAATTTTTAATTCATGATAAACTTCCGACTAGCCAAGATGCTAACTTTAAAACAGAACATTTTTAAAGTATGAAGGTTTCATCAAGGTAATGGCCTCATCAGGAAACATTAAAGGGCACACAAATCAATACAATGAAAAAGTTAAGAATGCTATGCACTCAACCGTTAAAGTACACCTTTTTAAATCCAATCCTTAAAATACCTGATAATCACTAGTAGAAGCTTTGTATGCTGTAGCAAGAGGTCTCATGGTAGAAATCCTAGGAGTACTTCCAGGTTGTGTTGGTGTACCTAGAGTTTTGATTGGTGGTGTAAAGGTTAAAGATGGTGATGATAAAGCACATCTGTCATTGCTTTCCATAACACTCTGGAGAAACAAAGAAACAACTCCTTTGTTTATAAACATAATACATATCATCCAGTATTACATCCTGCTTGGAAAGAAAATTTAATTATAAGATAAAGATCAAATACTTTATTTGATCTAATTAAACTTTCAAATAATTTTAGGCGTGAGAAAATATATGCTTATTAGGTAGCATTTGAGACTGAATGCTCAGCCAGAAATCTCACTTCAGTGACCTCAAACAATCTCAATATAACTACAGACCACAGAAACAAGAATTTCCTGAAACACTATGAAAAATCAGCAAGGACAAAAAAAATCTCAGGGAAATGTGGATTGGAAAGAATCAAAATCCAAAGCTATTTAGTGCTCAGTAATACCAAATACTCTTCTGTCCTCTGCAAACATTTGTTACAGCACAGTATGATAACTATATAACTACACAGCTATAACAGATTCTAAGAATAGGAACGTCTTGCTTTGTTCATTAATGTGTGTATACTAGCACCAAGCACAATGCCTGGTATGTAGAACAAGTTCACATAGACTTAAGAATGTTCACGATGATTTAACAAGCCACAAAGAAAAGTTTAAATTGTACTCTGTACTATTTAATGAGTATATACAGAATAATTTAAAAATATTTGAAATAGAAATATTTTGAAGCAAAAACCTTTGGAATTTAAAAGTTAACATTCACAAGAACTAATTCATTCTGAAATAGCACCATCCCGTTTAAGTATTTAAAAGAATCTGGTATCACTTTGCACAAGAGAATGGATTAGCAGTCAAGAGACCTAAAATCTAGGCCTCACCTTTAACAACTCTGGACAAGTTACTTAAGCCCTCTTGCTTTCTTTCCTTTAAGTGAAAAATGAAGAGGTGAGGATGGATTATCTTTAAATTCTAAAGTCTATGATTAAATACCTTTGGCTTACCACGAAGAGTACTGTAAATATCATCTCATTTTACAAACTAAGATAAAGAGATACAGTGAAACCAAGTGACAATCACCACCAATTTCAATGCTTGGTCTTGTGCTCTTCATATAGATTAAGCTACTTTCCTTACATCACCAATAACTTACTTTGTCAATACATGGTTTCACACCAATCATGATGGATTCTCCAAAAATCCTTCCATCTTTGCTTAAGGCTTTCCGAGCCTGCAGTTTAGACTGATAACGAATATGCATCCAATTTCCTGTGTTAGACATCTGCAAAGAATGAAACTGTCTCTAAAAATAGAAAATATATAAAACCTACATCTAATGAATTGTACTAGAAAATAGAAATGTGAAGACAAATTTACTTCCATTTCATATTTGATGCCTTACAAAAAGTTGTAAAGTTCAACAAAAGTTGCATTTAAAACAGCTTCAACAATATCTCAATTCTCTACAATAAATATGTACACATTCTCTGAAAGTAAAATGCTTCTCAAAATGTTTCTTATAAAGAGATCACAGCAACACTTGCCATAAAATTATTTAAAACTACTCAATTTGATTTTGTATAGGAGTTAATTAAATCAATCTCTAGTAACAAAAAAGGATTTGTTACTTATAACTTGTAGCACAAGGTAGTTTTTTAAATGTTAGAGCTATAAAGCTCTAAATACTCTAAAAGTTCAGGAACCTCCTCCCACTTCCTTTATCCCCAATAAAAGAAGCTCAAACTGGAAAACAGTATATAATATTTGGTATAATTTATCTTTTTTAAGACTGTAAACTATGTAAGAAAAGGGGTGAGAGGAGGTAGATTTTCAAACTCTCTTCTCCATATCTTCTCACTTTATCTCTTTTTATCAAAAACTATGCAACTTCTAGCCTTCCAGACTTCAAAAGGACATATTATACAAAACATTTTTTAAAAACTAAGTTAAAAAAAACCCACAAAATTCAGAATCAAAGTTTCTCTCAATTCACAACTTAGTCAAGACTTTGAACTGAAAAAAATTAAGCCTTACCACATGTTTTAAGATATTCCCATACTGTGCAAACTGTAACAATATGTAGGAAGCAGATGCTTGAGGAAACCTATAGAAAAGAGTTTTCCAAACAAAACAGTCAGCTTCTACTATCCTGAATGCAAATTAATACAAAATAATGTTTCAAGAGAAATTCCCCCAACTGTGTAGAACATTAACAAAAGAGCCCTGATCATCCTGTTTACCCCGATAGGTGCTAATTCTGTGAATGACCAGTCAGTCAGTCACTCAAAAGCAAACACCTTAAAGTCAGTCTTGATTAAGCCATCCTTCTCCATCCTCAGATTCTACCTCTAAAGTCTCTAAAAATGCTACTCTCATTGCCATTATCCAGGTCTTAGAAAAAAGCTATAAAGTTGCTGTTTTATATATAATTTATTTCAATATGTGTATGTTTATATGCAATATATTTAGGTATACTAGGGTTATGAAAAGATAAAGAATTTTTGGCAAGGCACAGTGGCTCATGCCTGTAATCCCAGCACTTTGGGAGGCTGAGGTGGGCAGATTACGAGGTCAGGAGTTTAAGACCAGCCTGACCAACACAGAAAAACCCCCGTCTCTACTAAAAATACAAAAATTAGCTAGGCTCGTGCCTGTAATCCCAGCTACTCAGGAGGCTGAGGCAGGAGAACTGCTTAAACCCAGGAGGCGGCCGAGATGGCGCCACTGCACTCCAGCCTGGGCGACAGAGCAAGGCTCCATCTCAAAAATAAAAAAAAAGGAATTTTAAATTATAAACAAATCACTATACATTGAGCATTACTTAAAAATACTGAAATTTAGCCTTAAAACAAAAATAAAATTCAGCATCAATATCTATGATATAGAATCCCTTAAAAGGATGGTTACCAAAATTTAATTAGCCATATCTCTGCATGAAAAAATTCTAAGTAATTTTTACTTTCTTCTTTATAAAGTTCTGTAGGGTTTAAATATTTTACAATCACACATTATTCTTTTATAGTTCTAATAAAGCTATTTTCAACTTGAAAACAACCACTACCAATAGCATAGACATGGCTATCTGGAGGTTCTCTAATCTCGAACTTCAGTTATCTGAAGACTGAATTAGAACCCTGAAGAAAAAAAAAAACCTGAGTCTCAAAAATAAATGAGAAACTAAACACGTTAAAATCTATGTGAGGCCAGGCGCGACAGCTCACATCTGTAATCCCAGCACTTTGGGAGGCCGGGTTGGGCAGATCACTTGAGGTCACGAGTTCAAGACTAGCCTGGCCAACCTGGTGAAACCCCACCTCTGCTAAAAATACAAAAAATTTGCAGGGCATGGCGGTGGGCACCTGTTGTCCCAGTTACTCAGGAGGCTGAGCCAGAAGAATCACTTGAACCTAGGAGGTGGATGTTGCAGTGAGCTGAGATCACTCCAGCCTGAGTGACAGAGTAAGACCTCGTCTCATTAAACAAAATAAAATCTATGTGAATAAAATATTCACTGTAATCAGAACTGAAAATTCATTTGCATAAAATCTGGACATGAAATTTCTAATCACAAAGAAAAACAAATAGGTTGGGTGCCTACAGGGGAGAAATAAAACAAAAATGAAAATAAGAAAGAATGGCTGCCAGTGAGGGAAGTGCTGAAAAAATAAAACATAATTCTAAAACTCTTGGACCACTTTAAGTAGAAACTTATATCCCAATACTCTATAGTAGAATCACCCAAAACAATGAATATTTCATAACCCTAAGTCAGTAGGAAAAAGTTAAATTGCCAAAGAAAGAACATATATAATGTATCTTTTAGAGGTACTTCCCCATAAATGATCAAAATAGCATACTTTATCCCTTAAAGGAGAATGCCTCAGTTCTTAAATTTAAAGTCATAGAGGGTTATTAAAACATAAAAGTAAAAAATAAATAGCTGGGAAAGTTAATGTCTGAAATGTGAAAGAAGACTAGGAGTGCTTCAAGTAATTTACCTAATTACTGAAAATCTTAAAAGTTAAACCACTACTATGAGCCTGAAAAACAGATTTAAGAGTGGATATCTATTTTCAAAAACATGCATCCAAACTGGCTCATGCCTCTTTTCCCAACTATTCATGAGACTAAGCCAGAAGGATTGCCTGAGGCCAGGAAATGGAGGCTTCAGTGAGCTATGATCATGCTACTACACTCCAGCCTATGTAACAGACTGTCTCAAAGAAAAAAAAAAAACATGCCAGCCCAATTGCTACTGATATAGGACTGAGTATAGGCTTTCTAGAGAACAACAGAATGCAATGATCCTGCTTTTTACCTAACAGAATCAATAACACATAAAATCTCTCTGGAAACATACACAAAAAAACAGGTGGCAATCATTGCCTTAAAGAGGAAGAAAACTAGCTAGGGACAAAAGTAAAAGAGGGCCGGGCACAGTGGCTCATGCTTATAATCCCAGCAGTTCGGGAGGCCAAGGCAGGCGGATCACAAGGTCAGGAGTTCAAGACCAGCCTGACCAACATGGAGAAACCCCATCTCTACTAAAAATACAAAAATTAGCCGGGCTTGGTGGCGCACGTCTGTAATCCTAGCTACTCAGGAGGCTGAGACAAGAGAACTGCTTGAACCCAGGAAGTAAAGGTTGTAGTGAGCCGAGCCCATGCCATTGGCACTCTAGCCTAGGTGACAGAGCACGATTCTGTCTCAAAAAAACATAAATAAAAATAATAATAATAAATAAAGGAAAAGGGAAGACTTCATTGTACTTTCTTACATATCTTTTAAATTTTTTAATTTTAAATAAATTGAATACATAAAATCCACTAAACATTTATTGTGCACCTTTCTTCCTGCAAGGAGCTCACGTGTTATTTTTATGTTTTTTAATCCCCAAAAATATATAGTAAATAGAAACATTACAGTATCAGCATGTGATTCAGTTTGGCTGTGACCCTGCCCCGCCCAAAATCTCAACTTTAACTGTACCTCCCAGAATTCCCACGTGTTGTGGGAGGGACCCAGGGGGAAGTAATTAAATCATGGGGCCAGTCTTTCCCACACTATTCTGATAGTGAGTGAGTCTCACGAGATCTGACGGGTTAATCAAGGGCTTCTGCTTTTGCTTCTTCCTCGTTTTCTCTTGACTTTGCCATGTAAGAAGTACCTTTCGCCTCCTGCCATGATTCTGAGGCCTCCCAGTCATGTGAAACCGTAAGTCCAATTAAACCTCTTTTTCTTCCCAGTCTTGGGTATATCTTTATCAGCAGCATGAAAATGGGCTAACAGAGTAAATTAGTACCAGTAGAGCAGTGCATTGCTGAAAAGATACCCAAAAATGTGGAACTGACTATGGAACTGGGTAATAGGGAAAGGCTGGAACAGTTTGAAGGGCTCAGAAGAAGACAGGAAAATGCGAAAAGTTGGGAACCTCCTAGAGACTTGCTGAATGGCTTTCACAAAACTGCTGATAGTAATATAAACAATAAGGTCCAAGCTGAGGTAGTCTCAGATGAAAATGACGAACTTGTTGGGAACTAGAGCAAAGGTGACTCTTGTTATGTTTTAAAGAGACTGGTGGCATTTTGCCCCTGCCTAGATATTTGTGGAACTTTTAACTTGAGAGAGATAATTTAGGGTATCTGAAGGAAAAAATTTCTAAGCAGCAAAGCATTCAAAAGGTGACTTGGGTGCTGTTAAAAGTATTCTATTTTAAAAGGGAAACAGAGCATAAAAGTTCAGAAAATTTGGCCTGGCATGGTGGCTCATGCCTGTAATCCCAGCACTTTGGGAGGCCTAGGTGGACTACAAATTGGGTTCAGTGTATACTGCTCAGGAGATGGGTGCACCAAAATCTCACAAATCATGTGAAGAACTTACTCATGGAACAAAAAGCACCTGTTCCCCAAAATCTATGGAAATAAAAACATTTTTTTAAAGGTATTTTCAAGTATTTTGGACCTAAAATCTATTCAAAAATGTAACTAGGACTGACATATTCTGTTTCTATTAATAGTCAATATTTTGTGACTAGAAAGTATCAACTCTGTGACAGTGTATGTATGTGTACGTGTGTGTGTGTGTAAATGTTCAATCTGTTAGTTCAAAACTGAAGTCCACTAGAAGTAGAGAACTAGTCACTAGAAAAAGGGGAAGGAGTTCCCTAAGTCTAAAGGACAACCCTGTTCCATCCAGCAAATATGCTTAACAGAAAATAATTTGGGAAGAAATAAACAGACAAGAGATTTAAAAAACTGCAAACCAATATCAAACTCTAGTTAATGATATGCATGCTAAAGTGTGAGAATAATACGTATTAATGCCTACAACTTATGAAATGTACCAACAAAAAGAATAAATTGATAGACAAATGATAGATAAAGCAAATGTAGCAAACTGTTAACCATATTATCTAGGTGGTAGTAATATGGGTGTTTGCTGTGCAATTCTTTCCATTTTTCTGCATGTTTGATTATATTCATTATAAAAAGTTAGAGTGGGGTTTTTAAAAAGGTAAATGATCCAAAAACCTTACCCAAACACAGTCACCCAAGAGTCATCGAGGTGATCTTCGGAAGTCAAAGAATCTCCTTGAGTATAAAAAGGATCCAATTGGGCAGGAGATAATGTCGTCTTTCGTGGCTGACCGATACTTGCTGGACTAAACATACTTTGCCCTATATTAGGATATTTAGCAAGTTAGTTACCAGAATAAACATCTTAATTTTAAATCAAAAATCTTAGTTTTAAATAAAAAAGTCTAATAAAGCTTGCAATTACATAAATAGTTCAAAACATACAACTGTGGTCAAATAGCAATTTCATGCTACTACACAATTAGAGAAAGTAATTGAGCATAGTTTATAATTTTGCAAATGTTTTACTAGGTATGATAAATTATCAAAATGCTTTATTAAGCATGTCTGGTTAAGCCGACATCAGAAGATATCCAGATCTTCTGTTGGATATCCAGATATCCCAGGAAACCTCAAGGACTTCTGTTGGTTTCACCTTCCAAATCTACCACTTTCATCAAAGCACCTCTGCCTTAAGAACATGTAAAAATGCAATTACTCACAGAACAAAATCTGAATGCCTTGGCCTCAGCTACATGGTTGCAACCTTACTTTTCCAGTATGCCCCTAAACAGTATCTACCCTACTCCTTAAAATGTGAATGGAATTCTCTTTTATTCAGACCATTTCCATCTAACATGTCTTATCCTTTTATTTCTTATTCTTCAGTAACAGCTACCAATTAATGAGTACTTCTGTGTCTAACATGCCATGCTAAACACTTTACAAATTCATTTTACCTCAGAAGAACTGTCCAATCAAGGCTATACATTTGTGAGAAGCAGAGACTATTTCCCTTTCATCTTCACAGTAGCAATAATAATTTACTCATTCAAGAAATATTTTTTCAGCACTTAAATATGCACCAAGCATCATTCTAGGTACTGAAGGTATAGCAATAAACAAGCAAGACAAATAAAAACAAAAAAATCCATCCCTAATGGAGCCTACATTCTAGACAAAGAGAGACAAATAAGTAAATATTTAGTGTGCTACAAAACTAAAAATGCTATGTAGAAAAAAAAATAAAGCAGAGAAGGGAGACATGGACAATTTGTGTGAAAGGGTTAAAAGAAAAGAGATTTCACTGAGGTGTGTTAAAGCAAAAACCTAAATGACAAGAGAAGCAAAACATTTTGTAGAGAAACTAAGAACAAAGGCCCTGAGAAAAGACATGACTGGTCTTAGATGAATGCAAGAAGGCCACTATTTGCACAGTGAGTGAGGGGGATATGAGATGAGAACAAGGAGGTGAGAGCAGAGAGGCAGCAATATGGGGATGGTGAAGAAAAACTTTACAAAGCCACTGTAAAAGCCAAAGCTTTAAGTGAGGTAAGAAACCAGCAAAGCCTTTACAACTAATAATATCTCAAAAGCAAATGCAACAAAATAAAAGATTGACAAGTGGGACCTAATTAAACTAATGTCCTTCTGCACAGCAAAAGAAACTATCAAAATAATAAATCGACAACCTACAGAATGGGAGAAAACATGTGTAAAGTATGCATCCAACAAAACAATCTGTAAAGAACTTAAATAAAAAAAGAATCAAAAAGTTCTCAAAAGACATGCAGGAGACCAACAAACATGAAAAAAATGTTCGATGTTACTAATCATCAGAGAGACTGCAATTCAAAAACACAATGTGATACCATCTCACACCAATCAGAATGGCTGCTATTATTAAAAGGTCAAAAAATAGAAAATAGGCCAGGCTAGGTGGCTCGAACCTGTAATCCTAGTACTTTGGGAGACTGAGGCGGGTGGATCACCTGAGGTCAGGAGTTCGAGACCAGACTGGCCAACTGGGCAAAACCCCATCTCTACCAAAAATACAACTAGCCAGGTGTGGTGGCAGGCACTATAATCCCAGCTACTCAGGAGTCTGAGGAAGAAGAATCACTTGAATCCAGGGAGCCGAGGTTGCAGTGAGCCAAGATCACACCACTTCACTCCAGCTTGGGTGACAGTGAGACTCCATCTCAAAAAAAAAAAAAAAAAAAAGTTAAAAAACAACAGTATTGTTGAGGCTGCAGAGGTAATCCTTATATGCTGTTGGTGAAAATATAAATTATAAATTAGTTCAGCCCCAGCAGAAAGCAGTTTGGAGACTATTTGAAGAACTAAAAACAGAACTACCATTTGAACGTCTTGTTTTCTAGTAAGGTCTAGGACAGTGTTCTGAATAAAACAGATCTTAAATAAACTTAACAGATGTGCAGTAATCTGAAACATCTTTTTCCTAAAGTAAAGTTTACATTAGTAGGTTAAATTAGATTAGTTCTAGTTTCTTTTCTTTTTTTTTTTAAAGGAGAGAAGGAAAGAAAGAAAAAAAGGAGTAAAGAGAGGAAGAAAGAGGAAGAAAAAGTTTAGATTAGTTCGTTTCTAAATTTGAATTCAAAGAATGTAGAAACTCAAATTGTTTAGTAAACCTAAAGAGTTAAGATTTCTGAAATTCTTTTTTTTTTTGCACCATGGCACAATCTCGGCTCACTGCAACCTCTGCCTCCCAGGTTTAAGCGATTCTCCTGTCTCAGCTTCCAGAGTAGCTGGGATTAAAGGCATGCACGACCACACCTGGTTAATTTTTGTATTTTTAGTAGAGATGAGGTTTCACCAGGTTGGCAGGCTGGTCTCAAACTCCTGACCTCAGGTGATCTGCCCGCCTTCACCTCCCAAGTGCCGTGAGCCACCATGCCCAGCAGATTTTTGAAATTCTTAAGTGATGGTATTTTTTCTCTTCAGTTAGAATGATATCGTTGCATTGTAGGTTTTCTTTAATAACTCTTTTGATCCTGTCCAAGCTGTAGTTTTGTTTTAATATCATTTGGAGGCAAGACATGGACATTATTTCTAGAAGTCTTTTAGATTTGACTTTATGAATTGATATTTGTGCTCTCTATGCAGAATAACTGAACCAAATGCTTAATTTATATTGAAGTTATGTACTACGAACAACAGTCAACTTTTTAAAGTTCTTGTCTATTGTCCCATCTTATTTTTGGAGTTACACCTAAGTCTTGTGTTACAGGTTCGCTATAGACATAATAACTAAGTAATATTTGTTAAACCTTTTTAAAAATTCTCTTTCAGGTAATCTTCAACTATACTGGATATTGTTGTATTTGTACAAACGTATAGGTTACATGTGTAGGAATATTAAAGTATATTGTCCTCTAATACATTTAACAATTTTTTCCCCTCATCACCACAGAAGCATTTAATAGGTATAGGCTGAGTATCCCAAATCTGAAAATACAAAATACAAATTGTTTCAAAACCTATAACCTGTGAAGCACCAGCATAACACTCAAAGGATATTTCAGATTTTCAATGCTCAACTGATAGTTATAATGTAAGTATTCCAAAATCTGAAACTCTTCTGGTCCCAAGCAGTTCTGATAAGGGATACTCAACCTGTTCAATATATTTTAAAACAAGGCTGATTTAAAATGAAACATCCCACTTTGACAAGTGCTATTATATTTTTAAGAAGCTGGTTATCAACAAACTTACCAACTATTGCTTTAGTAAGTAAGCAGAAGCATATATTTATATCAAAGATAATCTTAACTAAATTTAGTTCTTCCTACAAAGACATCCATTAACAAACCAAAGACAGTAAAAGGCATTTTACTATATAATCTGAAGCCAATCCAAATTTTCTATGGTCTATAAGTATTACCATTAAGAAGATAAAATTTAGTTAATGCTACATCATATAATAACCTTCAAGCAAGAAATTGAATGAAGGCTAGAATCGTGACAACCATTACAACCTTTAAAAATAAAACAAATCAAAATTAAGTCTCAAACGAATAAGCAACCTAATTTTTGCCCTGTCAACTACTCTGAAAAATATAATTACTTATACATAATCTAAAACTATTTATATAACTTTAGCATAATTGCCCCCCACCTAGTTAATGTTTAATTGCTCCACTGATTTTACCTCCTTTTAATCAAACTTCTGGTGCCCACATGCCATGCTTTATAAGATGGAAAGCAAGTGTGCCTATCAAACCACATCAAAACATACTGTAACGTGTCTCCTTGGGTAAATCACTATTCAGACATTCTTCCTAAGACTGGATTAAAGCAGACGGTAAAAGACCTTATTACCCTTTATGAAAATGTCTTCAATTAAAGAGCAGATTCAATTATTTCAAAATAGGCCACTAACCTAAATGAAAATAAGAGATAAAAAGACTAGTAAATTTTAAACAGATAAAAGCCAAAGGAAATGTGGAAAAAAGAGGTTCCCCGTAGTGTTAACTTCTTATCATGAAACAAAGCAGCACAAAACTTAAGGAATTTGGTCTCCGCTCAATGAGAGGTCTGGCCTTTGTTCTGTTCCTGGAAAGTAACATCTAAACCCTGGGAACTTCCCCAGCAATATAAGTGCCTTTGTTACACATGTTGGGCCCCTAAAATGGTACCTGATAGTTTATGCTAACAAGGTGGTTCCTGGTGGGGGTTGGTCATTCCAGAAAGACAAACTGTATGATAAAAAGGTTGAAGCTTTGAGCTATATAGTATCAACCTACCTCTGGGAAGAGGAAGAAGACTGGAGATAGAAATCAGCCACTTGCTCCATAATTCAATCATGCCTATGTAAGGAAACTCCAATAAAAACTGTAGACACAGATACTCCAGTGAGCTTCCCTAGCTGGTAGTACACCATGTATATTGCCATATATTGACACTGGGAGAATAACACATCTCCCTGAGGACAATGGAAACAAAACTTCACATTTGGAACCCTTTACAAACTTCAAATTTGTTTCTGTTTGCTTTAGTAAAATTGTAACCATGAGTACAGCACTTTCATCAGTGGGGTTGTGAGTCTTTCTAGTAAACTACCAAACATTACAAGCAGTCTTGGGAACCTCTTAATTTATAGCCAGCTTGTCTGAAGTGATGGTCCCAAACTTAGTATCTGAAGTGTGGATAATCTTATAAGGACTATTTAATCAGACTTTGCAGTATGGCACACACATTGTACCCAAAGAGCATATTGAACAATGGGTACATGTCCCATCAAGCATGGGGAACTGTATTCATTTGTAATCCCTCACAAACACCTAATGACAGACCCTCTT